CCAGTGGCTGGGCTTTATTCTTCATGTCTGTGCATCATCCCCTTTCTACCTGAGCCCCTGTGGAACTAAATTATGAATTATGCTTCTCAATCTAGGGATAATTTCTTATACAATATGTCACTAAGGAATAAGTGCCTTAAAATATTTTTTCAACAAAAAATTGAGTACCTAGACTTACATAAAATATAAAAGGGACCACTATAACTATGCCACATAACACAATTCACAAAATATACTCCACATTTTCTCACAAGAAAATATATCACAAGGATGACAATTTGCCTACATTGCTTACCAAACCAAGCAAATTCTTTCTTCTCTCTTTTTAAAATATTTATTTATTTATTGGTATTGAGGTACAATTGACGTAAGACATTATATTAGTTTCAGGTGTACAACATAATGATTCAGTATTTGTATACATTATGAAATGAGCACCACAATAAGTCTAATTACATCCCTCACCACACATAGAATTTTGTGTGTGTGTGGTAAGGACTTTTGAGATTTACTCCCTTAGGAATTTTGAAATATGCAATACAGTATTAACTATAGTCATCATGCTGTACATTACATTACATGATTTATTTTATAACTGGAAGTTTGTACCTTTTGACCCCCTGTAGCCATTTCACCCCCACCACCCTGCCCTTTGGCAACCACTAATCTGTGCTCTGTATCTATGAGCTTGTTTTTTGCTTAAAGTTGCTTGTTTTGTGTTTTAGATTCTACATATAAGTGAGATCATAAGTATTTGTCTTTCTCTGTCTCACTTATTTCGCTTAACATAATGCCCTCAAAGACCATCCATGTTGTCACAAGTGGCAAGATCCATTCTTTTTGATGGCTGGATAATATTCCATTGTTTATATCTACCACATCTTCTTTATCCATGGATAGACACGAGTTGTTTCCACATCTTGGTTATTATGAATAATGTGGCAGTAAACATAGGGCTGCATATATCTTTTCAAAATTAGAGTTTTCATTTTCTTTGGATAAATACCCAGAAGTGGAATTGCTAGGTCATATGGTAATTCTATTTTTAATTTTTTGAGGAACCTCCATACTGTTTTCCACAGCGGCCGCACCAATTTACATTCCCACCAAGAGGGCACAGGGTTCCTTTTTCTCTGCATTGTCGCCAATACCTGTTGTTTCTTGTCTTTTTGATATCAGCCATTCTGACAGGTGGGTGGTGATATTTCATCATGGTTTTGATTTGCATTTCCCCGATCATGAGTTCTTCCTCTCTTTCGGCTTCTCCTTTTATCCATGCCTCTCAGCGGATTTTACTTACATGTCTTAAAAAAGATGTTATTATTTATAGGAAACAAGAATTATCCTTGTCTTCATTCTGTTTCTCATTCTTTTTTGTCATGTGCTGATCTTATCTGGCTTTGGCTTTTGGTTGGATGTTTCCTCAGAGGTGCAGTTTTCTTTTAGGATGCTGGGTTCCTCTTTCCCAGCGCTCGTTATCATCCTGGTTTTTAAAGCCTTTGGGACAAAGTTTAATTTTTTAATAAAATGATATTTTCCCAAATATGATGGCGTTTTTGTAAAGGCAACAATAGGGATAGGAGCAGCTCTGGGCTGGGCATGTACATGTATTTCTCCATGTACAGAAGCTTCTGTGTTCATGTTTATTGCCTATGTGCTTGTGCTTTAGAGCTGCCTGCCCACAGAAAATTAGCCTTGATATAGAACACAGGTCACAGGAATGAGCTACATAAATGAGATAAATAAAATGTATAAAGTGGCATAGAGTAAATAAGGAAAATGGGTAACAGGCAATAAAAGTAAATACACTTTCGGCAAATAATGTTCTACTCCTAGAACATTACAAACACCCATCACCCCACCCCTAGATATAACTACTACTAATATTTGTCATGTTTCCTTCAAGGAATTTTATGTTCATATACCTATACATGTCAGTTATATTTAACCTCCTTATCCATTGGCCTAACATGGGGCAATGAGATTGCTATATTTTCCTGTAAATAATTTTATAAAGAACATTTTTGTGCATGAATTCTCTGTTCAAATTTTTTGGACTGTTTTCTTAGAATCCATCCTAAAAATTATAATTACTGGGTCAGAAGGTGAAAGCATTTGTAGGATTTTACCTTACAGCCCTTCCTGAAGGGCTGTAAATCTCTACTCCCACCAGATATTGAGAAACATGTTTTCTTAATTGGAATTTCTTTGATTACATGAACATTATTCATATGTTAATTAGTCATTTAAGTTTCTTCTTTGGCATTTTTATATTCATGCTCTTTTTATATGGAAGTCTTATGATTTTCATTACTATCTGTATGGCCTCCTTAATTACCAAGTATATTAATATGTTGTAGTTTTGTAACAGGTATTTGCTGGCAAATATTTCCCCCAGCTTCTTTGTTTTTGAAATTTATGAATGCTTGATCTTCATGTTTTAAAGTTTTATGTCCTGAAATCCTTTGATAATTATATTCAGAATTTCTGCCATCCTTTTTAAGTTCAAAAAGTCCTCCTTTTCTAGTGATCAAAAAGATGTTAGTCTACTTTCTTCTGTATGGCTTGAGTTTTTACATGCTGGAGCATAGTGGTTAACAAGGCGGACTACTTAGAGTTGATTACTGGCTCCAACATTTGGTCACCAAATGGACTTGGTTAACCTCTTCCAACCTTAGTTCCCTCATCTGTAAAGTGAGGGTTATTATAGGACCATCGCAAGGTGGTGTCGTAAGGACCAAGGACAAGAACTTCTGTAAAGTATTTTTAACAGGGCTTAGCACATACTAATACTCAATAAGTGGTAATTATTATCAATATTATTATTGATATATAGTAAAAGATAAGACTTTAACATGCTTTTTTTCCCCAGATGGCTAAATAGCACTATTTTTCCTTTCCGCATTATACTCAAAGTGATTTCAGTCTATATTACATTCTCCTACAGTATAACACCTGTTTCTGGCTTTCCCATTTATTTCTCAGTATATTTATATGTATGTGCCACACTGTTTTTTGCTGTTGTTGTTGTTTTTAGACTGGGGAGGAGGGAACAGAGGGAGGGGCGGAGGGAGAGGGATGGAGAGAATGCCAAGCAGGCTCCACACCCAATGTGGAACCCAGCGTAGGGCTCCGTCCAGCGACCCTGAGACCATGACCTGAGCCAAAATCAAGAGTCAGACGCTTGACTGACTGAGCCACCCAGGCGCCCATGTGCCATACCGTTTTAAATACTGTAGCTTTACAATATTTAACACTATTATATAGGAAGAGTATGCATGCAGGAAACATAATTCTTTTTTAAACTATCATGATTATTTTCTTATTTCTTTTCCCCACAGGGATTTCAGAGTTATATTGTAATTGAAAATTTAATTGGATATTGTAATAAGAATACATAGCTACATCTCTAAATATACGACTTGATAAATACCAGAAACATTTTACACGTATTAGTAATGTCACAGATATAATTTAAATGCTTTAATTTTTAGATACTACAACACTTTGAATACAAGACAAAATAGTGTTATTGCGATGCTAGGAGTAGGAACAGCAGAGTGAGAATTCATTAGTGAATAAAATCCAGATTATAAATGCTTACTCAATTTCTTAGGACATGGCCAGAGGTAACATTAGTCTGTTATTTCTTCAAGTGTAAGGGACACAGTGGCCAACTATCCTCTGAAATGTGTTCATACAGCAGCCCTTGATGTCTGCTGTGATGGAGAAGAAAAGCACCCAGACCTCAGGTTTTCCTGCGAACTACGGAGAATCCAACTAATAAGGGAGAAATGCTCTCTGAGCTTGTGTTTACCACTGCATCGGCAGCATTTTCGTCAGCAGCATCATGACATTTTAAACTACTTAAAGGAATTTTTTGTGTGTTTTAATTTCAGCAATACATTTTTTTGCAATACATTTATTTTTAATAACACTGCTAAACATTTTGTTTGTGTTTGACAGTTATTACAGGCATACCTTTATAACAAGGATGCCACGATAATTTTCATCTACTGATGGAATGAGTATTTTTATGTTTTAACAATAACGATTTGGTCCCCCAAAGTAATTGCAGATGATAGATAACAGAATGTCTGTAAAGGCTTAAATGTTCTTTAAGAAAGGGAGTCTTTTATTTCTATGATGATGGGACTCAGTTGCTCTGACAGAATGATTGCCAGAGTGTGAGAGAGAAAAAATGGAAACCTCTTCTAAATTGTGGTAGATCAATTAAATAGGACATTAAAGAGCATTTGCATAGGATAATATTCAATATAAAGGAACATTATAGACTGTGTTATAAAGTTCCTAACTTCATTCTTTATAGTTACTGCTATGAAAGTTAGGAGGTGCAGAAAATACCATCTAGAAGGACTTCTTTAGAGAAGTTTTGACATCTCTGTTTGACATCATTAGTTTGACATCAAGAGTCCTCTGTTTGAGGAGAATTCCAGAAAGACTTAGAGATATTTGATGGGTTTTTCAGAATCAGATCAAGGAGTGCTTCTCTTGTTGCCCTCTTTTTAAACACTGTGAAACATTTCAGGTATTGAAAGACACATAGAAAAAAAATATAACAATATTATATATTCACCACCCAGCTCAAGTGATCAAGTATTATACATATAATTGAATGATATCTTCTTTTTTCTAATGAGAACTCTACCACTGAAAATATAGCATTTGCATGTCCTAAAATCTCCTTTTCCAAGGTTCTTTCCATCCAATATGTGCATTTCTCCTTTGTTGCCACAGGGTGCCAAATGGCTATAACTGGCAAAATGCTCTAGATACAAATTGCCTGAGCTAAAGATGGCTAATGATCAACAAATGTGTAAAGCGATTCTAAACAGTAGGGTTAGATTGTTGATATTTTAATTCACTTGAAACTAACAACTGTCCTGGGCACCAACTCTCAAGGCTCCTTGACTTCTATTCTTTTTGAGAAAAATGCTTTTCGAAACCTTAACAAGAGTGGAGGGAGAGAACCACATTACCTGTCAACACTGAGAGCGCAGAGATTGAGGACGGTGATCCCCACCGAGGACTTTTGCAAAAAGGGGAATAGCTTGCAAAGAAATACGCCAAAGTCATTGTGATCAAAGGGCCAGCGCCCGGCCAGAAGCTGAAAGAAGGAGACACCGTGGTAAGAAACAACAGAGCTGGCATGGAATCCATGGACACTTAGATTTCTAATTATCCTCTGAACTTCTAAATTGTATTGTTCATTATGCTTTCCAGTTAGCAGGGCAGCAATACAGCATTTTTATCATTTAAAAAAATATTTTAAAGCCTTCGCCTTTTTTTTTAATCTGGAAAAATGTAGAGAATGATAAATATAATAACAGAAGAGATGAACCTTTGATCTTACGTGAAGTAGTCATACCACCTACTTTTCATTTTTTTTCTTTCTTTAAATTTTTTTTATTATGTTCAGTTAGTCACTGTATAGAGTACATCATTAGTTTTTGATGTAGTGTTCAACGATTCATTAGTTGCGTATAGCACCCAGTGCTCATCATCACAGGTGCCCTCCTTAATACCCATCACCCGGTTACCCCATTCCCCCACCCTCCTTCCTTCTGAAACCTTCAGTTTGTTTCCCGGAGTCCAGAGTCTCTCGTGGTTTGTCTCCCTCTCTGATTTCTTCCCATTCAGTTTTCCCTCCCTTCCCCTGTGGTCCTCCTGTGCTATTCCTTATGTTTCACATATGAGTGAAACCCTATGATAATCGTCTTTCTCTGCTTGACTTATTTCACTTAGCATAATCCCCTCCAGTTCCATCCCTGTCGATGCAAATGACCACCTACTTTTCAAAGAGCAGCAAAAGGTTAGGGTTTGGGTGACAGCTTGACTGAGAAGCAGGCAGTCATCTCTTAACTAGTTTTACTAAACCATGAGTAAAGCTAGTTTTCAAGTAGCAGTGCTGGAGGATTATATTATCTCTTGACAAGCAGCACGGTCTCTGAATTCAAGGTGATAGAGAATCCTGGAAAAAGGAAGTGGCTTAGGATGTACTGACTTGTCATCGGCTTAACACCCTTAACGCCATTTTGGATTTAGCTTTTTCTCTGTGCTGATGGGGCTGACTCTGCTTCACCAGGTGTGTCGTAAGTGGCCTTTCTTTATTTAGGCTTAAACCTCCCTTTATCATACAGAGAAATGTGGTTACTGTGATCTGTTTGTAGCATTTGCGGAAAGTCTATTCTTCCATGTTGACAATTTAAAACCTTTGTTGGAAGGAAAGGATGGATACCCTCTAGTGGCTATGGTAAGTAGCAAGAACATAAAGTCCCCTGTGAGTTGCTGATACTTATCTAATTAGGTATTAGAGCAGGAGCATGGGCTTGAATACTAGCTCAGCTACCTAAAAGGGAAGTCCCTGCTGAATACATGATGCCTTTTCAAGAGTAAAAATGGTATTGATTTCCTTTCTAATTTTTGCTTAGTGACTCAGAATTGAAACTGACTCCACTCAATAGGAAACACTATCCTACTAACTCGACAAACCTGTCTTTTTCTTCTCTTTTTGCAAAGTACCTCTTGCCTTAGTGGCTCTGAGTTGAGCTTTGAATTTCTGTTTTGACATATCTATTTTTTTTTAAGATTTATTTATTTATTTTGAGAGAGTGAGAATGAGAGAGAGAGAGAGAGTACATGAGAAGGGGGAGGGTTAGAGGGAGAAGCAGGCTCCTCGCTGAGCAGGGAGCCCAATGTGGGACTCGATCCCGGGACTCCAGGATCATGACCTGAGCCGAAGGCAGTCGCTTAACCGACTGAGCCACCCAGGCGCCCATATCTAAAAGATTATGTGAGGTTTAATTTCATGGTCAATGTGGTCATTAATATAATACTCATTTTGAAAATTTAGTAATGTAGGGCTCTCTAAAATTCTATTTTTATGGCTAAAACCTTGTGTGTCTTATTTCAGAAATCCTCTTTTTAGTCTTCAAACATATTTCCCTTTCATTTAAAAAATTTTTAAATTTAAATTCAAATTTAATTAACATATACTGTATTATTAGTTTCAGGGGTAGAATTTACTGATTCATCAGCTGCAGACAACACCCAGCACTCATTCCATCAAGTGCCATCTTTAATGCCCATCAGGCAATTACCCATTCCCCCACCTGACCTCCCCATCAGCAACTTTCAGTTTGTTTCCTGTATATTTCCCTTTCTTTTGAACAGTTTTCTGAAAGGACCTCTGAATTGAAGAATCCAATTCTGTCTCTCATCTCTTTTTTTCTCCTTGCACTCTGATGAGTCTTGGTTAGTATCTTCCCAGAATTTCTGCATAAACATTTGTCCAAGGACAATTGGTGGGCTCTTCACAGGAACAATGCCCTAAACTCATGACAGTTTAATGAAACTAATGAATAATTATACCATTGCTGATTGATGGTTGTTAAGGCTTCATGCAAGTAAAGATATAAAACACTGTTTCTGAGATGAATCTCCCCCCATAAAGAGAAGAAAACATGAAAACTACTTTTTATAGAATGAAAGTTTAATATTTTGTCCCACAAGTGTAATTCTCCACTGAAGACTACAGGATGTAATTAAAACGTGTAGGGATTTTTACAGGATATGCTTTGGAACGATTGAGTTGTTATGGTTGGTTCATATCAGAAACAGAGTATCCCCAAATCCACGTGGATGGATTTCCCAATTCACACATCCAATAATGAGAGAAAAGGATGTTTCTTGCTTAACAAGGGAGACTCTGAAGTCCTGTGAGGGTCTAAATGACAAGGGCTAAGAAAAATGATCCAGAAAAAAACACAACTGAGCATGTATTGTTTCAGACCCTTCCAATCTCAATTGAATTTTTTCCTTTTTCATGCTTGCCAAAGCTTTCAATTAGGGTGAGATGTAGAGGAGGGACTGAAGGGAAAGATATCACAGAATTGGTGGGCACCAAAAAGATCACAGAATTGTCTTTCTTTGACATAAGTAGAGTTTTGTTATTTTTGTTGTTATTTTTCCTTTCCCCAGGAGTGAGCATTGATTCTTCTTGGGAATTAAAGACAAGGGGAAATGAAAGATATCATTGGAGAGGGGCGCCCGGGTGGCCCAGTCAGTTAAGTGTCTGACTCTTGATTTTGGCTCAGGTCATGATCTCAGGGTCATGAGATTGAGCCCCGAGTCGAGTCAGGCTCTGTACTCGGCAGGCAGGCTGCTTGAGATTCTCTCTCTCCCTGAACCCCTCCCACCGCTTGCACTATCTCTCAAATAAATAAATAAATCTTAAAAAAAAAAAAAAGAAATCATTGGAGGAAATTTCCAGACAATCACAGTGCAGACTTCTCTAACCTATATCCACTTCATTCTGAAAGGATGGATGGACGGTAACTGTCCTAATGCAGCTGGGGGAAGTTAGGCCACTGCCGGGGGTAACTTCTTCATTTTCTCGTTAAAGGTGACTTCCTCAAAGAGGCCCCCATTTGCTATCCAATCTCAGTAGGTTCTGCTTATTAATCTTTTCCTCATGGAACCAGTGTGGGAGTAATTTTACATTCCAAGTCTCAGATTACTCTGGTTTAGCAATAAAGCATATACAAAAGAAAGAGGGAATCAAAGAGGCATAGAGTGTAGATCACCTATTTTTCTCTTATTTAGAAGAGGTATTTTAGAACTTCTGAAAGACCACTTACTGGGAATGCATCCTTTCTGTTATTTACTAGCATTTAAAATTGAAAACAATATTTAAAATGGTAAAAATTAAGCTGTATAGAAACATATAATGAAAAGCAAACCTTCCTTCCAGTCAAAGCCCCTAAACTCTCTGCCCAAAGGCAACCATTGTTAATTGTTTAATGTTTTCTCCCAGAAAACTTCCTTTGTACATAAAAGCATATGCTCTTAAAAAAGTAGGAACATATGGAAATAATATCTTTTAACAGTCTTTTATGATCTTTTTTGCCTAGAGTACTTTTCTGGTAAGCAGTTCTATTGCCTAATTAAAAGGTTTTGATTTTTAAAAGCACATCAGTGAAAGAATTCAGACTAGGATAGGAAAAAATAAGTAACTGTATAGGATAAATCTAGACCACAGCAAAGGAATTGGTTGATTTCATTAATGTTAACAAGCTACTATCAATTCAATGAAAGAAAAACCAAACTACTCTGACAAACTGACAAGTTGGATTGGTTCAAAGGGTTAATCAAGCATCAGGTAGCCACAGCTTATTTTTGCCATACAAGGGCCTATACTATTATGAACCCTCATATTTATAACTTCCAAGGACATCACATAGTCCCTAGCACATAGTAGGTGTTAAATGAATTAATAATCCCAACTCATTAATTCAGGAAAATATTTTCATATTTTGAAATTAGTACCAATTTTGCCCTGAAAACACATTCATCTTGTAATTTACTTTTTATTTAGAAGTTGTTTATCAGTATTCCAGAGTAGTATTTCCATTCCTTACGTTGAAAGAAACCATGCACCAGCTAATGAGTTGTTTGAGGAAGTGGGAGAATACTGTTCTATTTAAGACTTCAGGTTAAAGAGGAGCTGCCACAAACTCTTTGGAGACCTCACAGTCTGGGCTGTGATGAGACTGTCCAGCCTGATAAGAACCACAGAGCAGACACTTGGACATGATGCACATCCTGTGGTCTAATTGCATTCTCAAGTGGATACAGAGGAACACCACAGACCAATCGCTGGGACAGTAGAGGGCAGGCTGCTGAGTATGGATTTTATTGAAGGATACTTTCCTTGGTTCTAGCCTAGGGGATTTTTCTACAGTTGAAATCCCTGATCATCACTTGAAAACTAAAGTACTTCTAAACGGCAGAAATTAATGTCAAAATTATGTATATGTGTGGCTGATTTGGATTATGTCTAAACCATTATAAAATTGACAGGCTGCATTTTTTAACCTGTCAAAAATAGATTTACCTAAGGACTTATACCACATGGTACACTCATAAGCAACCTGTTTTTAGAATGACTAGATCCAAAAGCAGGATCTCTGTCCACCACTATGTTTAGTACAAAGCAATGTCTACTTGGTTGGAACCTCTCAGATATGTGCAATGTACCTGTTTATGTCAGTTTTCTGGAACATAACAACCAGAAAGAAAGCAAAAATGTAATGAGCCAGTTGGTTG